CACTCCCTTTGCTCAGGCCAGGGATCCCTGTTTCAACAAAAAGAAACTTCCTCTGCTGCCTGATGCATACACCTGTATTTCAAGTGTTGAATTATTTTGTTGGGTGAAGGCGAACTCTCACAATTCCTCTAATGGGACACACACTCAGGACCTTGAAGAAGATCATAATATGTAACTTCCCTCCTTACACTTCCAGTCTTAAAAGCAAGAGGATGGTGTGAGATGCAGTTGTCCTGAGAGGTGTGGTGAGCTTAGGGACCTCATTAGAAACACAAAACATGCTCACACACGTGCGAACCCCCACAGACTGTGGAGGCCAGACATTACCAGAATGTTTTGCACTTAGCCTTCTGTCCAAATGATGGTATTATGTTCTGGGCCCAGTGTGGTACCTGTAACACAGAGAGATTAAATTAGAGGTTTCCAAATGCAAGTTAGAAATCAGTTCTTAGTTCTTGGCCAACGATTCATCAGCTAGTTAGACTATACACATTGGAGTATACAAAGACATATGTTTGATCACAATAATTGACTTGAGAAAGTTGAGATGCCTAGACTCAGATTCCGCATCTATAAAACAACAGGATTCTAGAACATTATTTCACAAATTTTCTAGTGCTGTATCTTTTATTTGAATATAGGTTTTCAAACTATTCCCTCAGGATGCTTTAGATTTCATTGCCATTTGTTGTGATACTCCTTTCTTCATCTCTATTTTATTGAGTCTTTCCTCCCTTCTTACGGCCAAATTACCTACAGCATTACCAATTTTTTTCTTTTTTCAATGAAACAACTTTTTGATCTATTTATGTTTTTTTGGTTTTCTTTCATTAATTTCTGTCCTAATTTTTATTTTTTTTCTGTCTGCTAATTTTGAAAAATTTTTGATCCTGTTTCCACAGAAGTTTGTGGTGCATCAGTAAAATATTTACTTGAGAGCTCTTTGTTTATTTTATGTAGGCATTCATAAACTAAACTTCAGAAATTGTCCTCTTAGCACTGCTGGTGCTGTTCTGATTTTCATTAGATACCAAGAACTTTTTTTCATGTGCCCCCTTTATTTCTTCAGTGACCCATCCATCTTTCAACAATCTGCCATTATCTCAATGTATGTGAATATTTTATGTGGTATCTTTTGCTGTTGAGTTCTTGTTTAATTCTATTATGATCTGATAAACTATAGGGGTTATTTAAAATTTTCTTGCACTTGCTAGGATTTGCCTTCTGCCTAAAAATGTGATCTATTTGGCCATCTGAGAAGAATACATATTGTGTAGCTGCCCGTTGAAGTACTCTCTAGATATCTGTTAAGTCCATTTGGTCTACAGTGTCATGTGGTTCTGAGGTTTCTTTATTAATTTATTGATTGGACAACCTATCAATTGGTGAGAATAGGGTTAAGTTTCTCACTATCACTGTACTGGTTCATCAACGCTTCTAAGTCTAGAAGTGTGTTTAAATGGACATGGGTATGCTGCTCTTTGGTTCATGTGTGTCAACAATTATAATTTCCTCATGCTGAATTGGTCCCTTTATGAAGTACCTTTCGCTGTCTTTTCTGATTGATTTTATCTGAAGTCTTACTTTATCAGATATAAAAGCTTCTGCTTGGGCTGGGAAGGTGGCTCAGTGGTAGAGCGCTTGCCTTGCATACATGAGGCCCTGGGTTCCTTTCCTCAGCACCACATAAGCAAAAAGAAAAAAGCCTGAAGTGGCGTTGTGGCTCAAGGGGTAGAGCGCTAGCCTTGAGCTGAAGAGCTGAGGGACAGCGCCCAGGCCCAGAGTTCAGGCCCCACAACTGGACCCCCCCCAAAAGAAAAGCTTCTGCTTTTGAGGTCCATTTGCTTGAAACATTTTTTTGATGGTAAGGAAGCTTATGCTAAACATGTAGGGCAGTCTTTGAGGTGCAATCATTCCTTATTTCAGAAGTCATGTTGAAAGTACTTTGAATTTTATCCTCAAAACTATTCATCATAAAAATGGAGAAAAAGCCTCAGTGTAGTGTTTCTGAGGCTCGGGTTATACTCTTGGCTTTGTATTTGTGGTATGTGGTCAACTTAAACTTATTACGCTTTGTTTCTCAATGTTTCTCAGTATCAATTTCTCAATGAGGTCAATACAAAGTTATATTGTTCAAAATGCAATCTGAACATTCTCAGGCATTTTAATGAGAAAACATGAATAAACTTCACAATTTATCTAAAGTCACCCAGGAACTATTATTTCTCAATCTACTTTCTTCTCCTTCATGAAGATGCCTTTCTGCAACGTTATTCTCTCTCTATACACATGATACTAGAAGCACATTCATTGTGCAGGAATGGGATGCAGGAACCACGCCTGACACACTAGCTCAGAATCCACCTGGTTTCATTGTGCAGGAATGGGATGCAGGAACCACGCCTGACACACTAGCTCAGAATCCACCTGGTTTCATTGTGCAGGGATGGGGTGCAGGAACCACGCCTGACACACTAGCTTAGAATCTACCTGGTTTCATTGTGCAGGAATGGGGTGCAGGAACCATGCCTGACACACTAGCTCAGAATCTACCTGGTTACATTGTGCAGGAATGGGGTGCAGGAACCACGCCTGACACACTAGCTCAGAATCTACCTGGTTACAACAATAAAGTTCAAAGGCTATAGAGGATATTCTACTTTCAGTTAATCCCAAGAAGGTACTCAGTTCCAAGCAGAAAAATATCATTGAGATCACTGTGGCTGATCACAGAGCTAGTATTTGTTATACATGACAGATACTAAAGGACTGTGAATATGAATCAATGCTTTAGGATATAATCTATTGAAAAATATGAAATGAATAAAATAACCACTTTCATATAATGACTGACACTGAGAACACCTTGGGCTCAGCATATATTTTTCTTCTAAGCATTTGGACATGTATCCTTGAATGAGGCCCATGAACTTTTTACAATTTTGTAATTTGTAGAGTTAATTCAAGAGTTAATTACAATTAATTATAATAGTTAGCTTTCCATGTTATTGCATCAGGTGACAACTCTAGGAATTCCACAGAGTATATGATCTTTAAATTAATCTCAGAGGTCCTCATGTCTCTAAAGATTTGTAGGAGGCTGAAAATACCTTCCCAAAGATATCCACAGCTTAATGCATGCTGCCTGTAAATGTTACTTTCTGGGAAAAAGAAAAAAGTTTGCAGGTGTGAGTAGTTTAAGGATCTTGGGATGAACAAATTGTCAAAAAATATTTGGATGGGATTTAGATGAAATCAAACATACCCTTATGAGGGATAGAAAAGAAAATTATTCAAGTCTTCTTTTTTGACCACAAAAGTAGAGATTGCACTTAATCACAATCAAAAAAAAAAAAGAACTTCGGGGAAGGGAGGGAGGGAGGGGATGGTAGGGGGGAAAACAATGGAGGGGCTAACAATGTTCAAGAGGAAGTGTACTCATTACCTCACTCATGTATCTGTAACCCTCTGTATAGTATCTTTACAATAAAAAAAAATAAAACCAGCCTGGGGGCTGGGGAAGTGGCTCAGTGGTAGAGCGCTTGCCTTGAATGCATGAGGTCCTGGGTTCGATTCCTCAGTACCACATAAGCAAAAAGAAAAAAAAGCAGGAAGTAGCACGGGGCTCGAGTGGTAGAGCGCTAGCCTTGAGCTGAAGAGCTGAGGGACAGCGCCCAGGCCCAGAGTTCAGGCCCCATGACTGGACCCAAAATAAATAAATAAATAAAACCAGCCTGGGCAGGAAAAGTCCAAGAGACTTTTTTTTTTCCCAATTAACCAACAAAAAGCCAAAAGTGGAGCTATGTCTAGCCTTATGCAAAAATGCTCAAAGACAGCCCTTAGGCCTTGACAAGTGGCAGAAACAGTGAAAAAAAAAAAAAGTAGAGATTGGAGTGATACAACTACAATTGAAGCCAAGCTGACTTCCCCATGAAACTTGCAATAGCAATGAAGAGTCTGTCCCGCAACTTCCAGAAGGAATGAGGTTCAGCCTAAACCATAATTTAGGCCCACTGAAATGTAAACTTATGGCCTCTAGAATTGTAGGAGAACAAATTTACTCTTTTATTTATCCATTTAATTTTATTGTTCCTTAACATATGTGACCTGTTTATTTGATTGTCAAGGAGTTGTACAAAGGAATGTCAATTCACCATGTCAGTTTATGAGCACAGCACCTCTTGATCAATGTTCCCCCTTTTATTCTCCCCATCCCCCACGTGTATATATGTATATATTTATACACATTGAATATTATGACTGCCGTTGTCCACTATTCTGTGTTTAAAACACTAAATTGTAGGAAACTCATAAGCAACTATCAGAAACTAACATGGATTCCAAGACAATGGTTTGTTATTAACTCCTCGAGAGTTTATGAGCTTTCCCACTCCCTGGAAGATGGGCAACTGAGACCAGAAACAGTACAGGATCACCAACTTTGTGCTATAGACCCAAAATCTGCAGAATCAACAGTTCACGTATATCCACACGTGTCTTTGTGAAACACCATAACTAGCCCACTGAAATACATTATACGTTTATTTACAAGGACTACTTCATATTCCTTCTTGGCCATCTGGAACACTGTCTTGCAGGCTTTACAAAGATAAACTTAAATCCTGTAGTTTGCAATCCTGTATTTAAGTTGGAAAAAATACTCATGATTTTTTAAAAAAGGAAAGAAAGGAGATAATTATGACCAAGAATTTCTCCCAGGTGGCTTATACATAAACGATACAGAACTGGCTGTCATGCATCATTTCTCTTCACCAAACACTATATCAGTAAGACTAATATATAAACCCCTCAGGAACTGGAATACTAAGTGAATGGACATGCAAATGCAATCAAATATATTCCTTTAATTTTTAGAAATTAAATGCTTTATTGATGATTGTTGTTCACAACAGAAAGTTATAATATATGAGATTTTGGGTATATAGTACATACATTTTTGATCAAATATATTCTTTTCCCAACACTAGAAAGACCTTTCTTCCTATACGATAACATCATGTCTAGTTTCCAGTGGAAGAGAGCAATATCACTACCGTAATGATAGAAGTGTTGATGTCCAATTGCCTTCCATTTTCTGCCAACTCCTACATCTCTGAAACATTTCCAGATATTATATTCACTATTGGAAACATTACACTCTGATAAGCCGTGAACTGTAGATCAGTCTCAAACCCAACCTCGCAGGCCTCACTCATTCTCACACAGGGAACGCACACTTCATCAGGAAGAGCCTGCCGGGAGCCTGCCCCCGTGTGCTTTGTCTGTTAGGAGGATTGCCTCCCCCGGCCACCTTCCTCAACGCGGTTTTCACATCCTTGTTCCTCAGGCTGTAGATGAGGGGGTTCAGCATGGGGATCACTGTGGTGTAGAACACAGATGATACCTTCTCTTGTTCCATGGAGTCACTGGAAGGGGGCTTGAAGTACATGAATGTTATAGATCCAAAAAAGATGCCCACAGCCATGAGGTGGGAGCTACACGTGCCAAAAGCTTTGGACCGCCCCTCTGTGGAGCGAATACGGAGAATACTAGACAGGATGAAAGCGTAAGAGACCAGGACAGCCAGGGTGGGCGCTAAGGTGTTGACCCCTCCGATAATAAACAGCAGTGTCTCATTGATGCGGGTGCTGGAGCAGGACAGGGTCAGCAAGGGCAGAATGTCACAGAAGTAATGGCTGATGACATGAGACCCACAGAAGGACAGCATGGTCATGCGCGTGGTGTGGACGGTGGCCCCAAACAAACCCAGCGAGTACACCACGGCCATCATGACAGAGCAGGCCCTGTGGGACATGACGGCGCTGTAGAGCAGGGGGCTGCAGATGGCCACGTAGCGGTCATACGCCATGGCCGTCAGCAGGTAGCCCTCAGCAATGACAAAAACCAGGAAGAAGTAGAGCTGCGTCATGCACTCTAGAAAGGAGATGACGTTTTTCTCGGACACGAAGTTCACCAGCATCTTCGGGGTAATGACGGAGGAGTAGCAGAGGTCGATGAAGGACAAATGACTGAGGAAATAATACATAGGAGAGTGCAGAGGGGAGCTGGTGGCGATCAAGAGGATCATGCCCAGGTTCCCCACCACTGTGACCACGTATATCCCAAGAAACAAGAAGAAGAGGGGCAGCTGAAGCTCGGGCCTGCTTGTTAAGCCTTCAAGGATAAAATCAGCCACTGAAGAAAGGTTCAAAGCTGCCATCTATGATCAATGTTCTCTCTAGGAGGACATAAGAGAGAAAGAGGATATGGTACTTATTTTCTGAGTCCCAAAGCAGAATTGCATGCTCCCCTCCGCCGTTTCTGTGTCTGGTGGCCTCATCTGCCCTGTGGTGGTCCTTTCCAAGGCTTTTTCTTTTTTATTGTTATTGTAAAGGAGATGTGCAGAAGGGTTACAGGTAACGAGTCAGGTAACACGTACATTTCTTTTTGAACACTGTCACCTCTTCCCTCCTTTTCTCCCACTTTTTCCCTCCTGACCCCTCCACCCCCCACACGGTGTATAGCTTTTTCACCACAGTGTCTGTACCACTGCTGCATTTGCTCATTCTTTGTCTCATCATATCTGCCATCCCCGTACGCTCCCCCAATCAGACAGACCTACATACAAAAGGCACAGGAAACAGAATCAGCAACAGAGAAGCGGGGGAAATGCCAACAACAAAAAGCAAAATAACCAAAAACCTCATATCCATTTTTTGGAGTTCATTTAGATAGACATCATTTCATGCAATCATTTGCACATGGTTATGAAGCCTTTGTGATCCTCTCCTTTGGCCTCACTGAGCCCAAAGGCAAAGATTTGGAATGTATCAGGAGCCTAACTTCCACCCAATCTTATTGAGCATTTTTGTTTAAGTCAGTCAATTTTCATTGTGTTCCTACGAGTAAGTCCCTGCTTACTTCACTTTGAGAAAAAGTACAAACTTTCCAGTCCTGATTTTGTGTTGATATTTAAATAAGAATACTGGCAACCTTTATCTGAGCACATACCAATAGAACCTCCAGACACTGTGACAAAGTAGCTTTGAAACCAGCTCTGATGACACAAAAATAGACATGTTCACTGTCCAAGTCAACCTGCATGACTCACAGAATTCACTTTCTCTAAAAGTGGGAGCGAATGAAAGATGTCTGTAAGGACATACAAAACATCTTGTAGAATATGCTCTGATCACCGTGGGCCTTGCACTCACTTCTGTTCTCTGTGCTGTACACTTGAGTGGTCAGAGCATTTTCCTCTTCAGTGTGAGTAAAATATTTTCACTAGATGAATGACAGAAACGTAATATCAGAAGCGAATCTCAGACTATAGCTTAGACCTATTTCATTCCAGAAGTAGCAATGAAACAGGGCTGACTTTCAGGTATGACATCAAAACCTGCAACACCCAGGTGCCTCCCTGCCATCCAGGCCCCCCCTAGCCCCTCTCTCCTCTGGACCATTCAAAGCCACATTCTAAATGGGCTATTTAATTTGAAGCTATTAGAATTGAACTGCAGGATTTCTTTTTTCACAGTTTCCCCTAAAGTTCAAACAGATGAAATATTATCTAATACTAACCAAGATCATGTCTTTCTTTCAATCATTTTAATACAACAAAAAAGTTTTTAATTTCAAGACATGCCTCCTCAGGACCTTCATGTGGCTTTAAATTCTACTTTTTATAAAATAAGAAAAAAATCGAAGGCTGAAAATTTCCATAGCCAGAGTGATAAGCACACCTTGCATGAAAAATACATTCAGGACCACACACAAGAGTTTAGGAACATTTCTTAACAATATTTTTTTCTATATGTACCTTCTACAATCTATGAAGGACACAATGTATTTGTTGATTCAGAGGCTAAATTAGATGAGGTTTTATGTCCAAGAACATAAGAAAGGAGAGTTACATCTTTCTATCAGGCAATTATATATCATTTCTCTATCAGGCAATTATATATCACCCTCTAAGAGCAAGCTACGCCATCTTCCTGTGGATGGCCCAGTTTCAATCACTGATCTGAACTTTGTCAATGAGCCGTGTGAACCAAACAAACACATTTTTGTTACTCAGAAGAGAGAGCTGTGGCATTCCGAGTTTAGATTTATTTAGAAGCCAGCACAGTCTCAGACAGGCTCACAGATACCTAACTTGAATTCCTTTTGTCATCCAAAATAGTTAGAAATGTCTCTGCTAAGAGGGAGTGTCCAAGATCAAGCACAACAGATCTGTCCCTTTGTGACAGAGGAGGTGATTCCTGATGATTCTGCTCAGGATCATAAAGAGAAACACAGCGTTTGTTCCTGGCTCTCATCAAAAAGAGCACTCATTCTCTTCACATGGGAAGAGCAAAGAACTACAAAAAGTGCGTCTGTGCAGTGCCGGGTTTTCATGCCCTGCTGGAGCCAGTCCTGGAACCCCCTGCCCCTGGCTGTGTCACGTAAGCTATGTTAGTTTCTATGACTTCAGGTATGAGACTTGCTGTGTAGGACTTTTTTTTTTTTTTTGGGTCCGGTCGTGGGGCCTGAACTCTGGGTGCTGTCCCTCAGCTCTTCAGCTCAAGGCTAGCGCTCTACCACTTGAGCCACAGTGCCACTTCCGGCTTTTTTCTTTTTGCTTATATGGTGCTGAGGAATCGAACCCAGGGCCTCAGGCATGCAAGGCAAGTGCTCTACCACTGAGCCACCTTCCCAGCCCTGTGTAGGACTTTTTGAGAATGAAATGAGTCAAAAGATATTTAAGACAAATAAAAAATCTAACTGCAGCCTGTAAATAGAAGCCATTCAAACACCATGTACAGCTTATTCAACCTGCTGGGAAGTTGATTTCCACTTACCTTAAGACATTTGTTCTTCAAAAACATGGACTTTTATATTACATAGAAATGCAGGGAGATGGCTTAGAAATATACAAGAATTCTCAAAGGTCTACAAAAATCTCTTCAGCTTTGGTTTCCTATGCGATACTCAATTAGTGAATAAACAAATGACAACTTTGGATGATCTCAAAAGTAATTCTTCACCCAAGGGATTGAACTCTGTAAGCAACACTCAATAATAAGGCAAATATTGTTCTTCTCTAACACCTTAGAATTTCCACAATCAAATAATATCTCTCAAAACAAAACTTTCATCTGAGTCCCTAATAGTCTCGGGGAGGGAGTTAGAGTCTGGAAAAGCCAATGCATTTTCCTATAACGAATCCTACAAGGTAAGTCTTCTTTGTATCCTCAAAAAGATGAATTTTTTTCATGGACTCACTAAAACCTTTTGTTTCCTTTGGGAAGCCATCAAGGTCTAGCTGTACAGGATACAGAGTGCAAGGAAAGTTCATTTGTATCTCAATTTCCAAAGGGATTTCAGTTCAAAGTGATCAAAGTCAATTGTAAAACTTCTGATTCAAGTGCTCAAGAGTGCAAGAACTACTCCGGTTTCTACTGCCAAACGAGGAAACTTCTTTCATCAGATTGTTTCACTTTGTAAAGTTTCTAACTAGTTAGTTGGGAGGATTTTGAATGTTCCCCTCATACGTTAATGATAAATGCTTGAGGCAATGGGTATTCTAGTGACCTTGATTTGATCAGGACATATTGGATTTGTGGCTCTCTTTTGAAATTATGTGTGTGTGTATAGATCTTTATATCTATACTTTTTCCTCTCTAAAAGGGAGGAAAAGGGCAGGGATGTGGGATATATCTTCTTGCCTTCAACAGAATTCACTGATAAACTCTCATGCTAAACAATATTTTAAGAGGCTGCTCCTCTCCTTTCATGTCAGAATCAATTCAGTTGCATGAATCATAAGAGATGAACCTAAGACAATTGCAATGTGATATTTTTATTGAGAAATATGGCAGTGAGGCTATAAAACATTATGGCATAAATGATGTAATAATGTGATTCAGATAAATAAATAACTTATAGTACATTCAGAATGTTATCTGTCCCTGTGTGCAATTTTATAAAACTGCAAAGGTAGCCATGTGGAATAAAAAAGAGCGGTGGATGTTACTGTGGAGTGTCAGCATATCTATCTACCCCCATCCTTTGGACTGACTGGCAAGAGATGAATTCAGGCAAGACATGAAACGTTGTGAAAATGACAGGACAGGAACAAGTCCGATCCAGCCATCTTTGAATCAATCTGAGATAGAAATGGGGAATCACACCCCTGCACATTTCAGGGTGACTTTGACACATCACCACGGCGTAGGTCAGTAAACCAGCTAAAGCCTGCTATTACATCAATAAAGATATCGAGACACAATCATCACAAGCTATGACACTTGATGGAACACTGGGCACAATCCAGCATAACATTATTTTGCAAACTCTTCATCTGAGAGTCACAAAGATAGCATTGGGAATCTGGAACTCACTCTCAGTTGAATGGAAAGCAAGTGGAGAGCAATGCTCACAAAAGCCCTTTGAAGCAGACAGTATGATTGTTTTCATTTCAGTTTGGAGGATCTAATATCCAGAAAGGGTGACTTAAAAAAAATAAAGCCACATACTTAGCAAATAAGAAACTAGAATTGAAATCTAAGCAGTCTGACCCCAGATACTTGAGTTTGCCCACTTTCTTTGTTTCTGGAAGTGTTCCCAGCTCATACTTTTCCTGACTCCTTAGTGCACAACACCACTTAGCTGAATACAAATAAGTTTTGTTAAAGAGGGGGTGGCACTGTTAAAAAAGAAATGTACTCATACCTAACTTATGTAACGGTAACCCCTCTGTATATCACCTTTACAATAAAAATTAATTATTAATTAAGCTTTGTTTCCATAACTGAATTTTAAGACAGGTTAGAAAATCATGATGAGAAATTATTACAAAATCATCCCATGTCAGAGAAAGGGTAACACATTTGTTTGTTTGTTTTATTGGCTGTGGGGCTTGGACTCAGGGCCTGGCTGCTGTCCCTGAGGTTTTTCATTCAAGGATAGCACTCTACTATTTTGAGTCATAGCACCACTCCTGGTTTTCTGGTGGTTAATTGGCATAAGAGTCTCACAGACTTTCCTGCCCTGGCTGGCATTGAACTGTGATCCTCAGATGTCAGCCTCTTGAGTAGCTAAGATTATGAGCATGAGCCACCAGTGCCTGGATAGAGTAATAATTGTATTAGCCATTTTCCTCTATGTATTCCTTATTTTGCAGCAAAACAAATCATAATAACAATAAGTATTAGTATAAAAGAAGCATATGTCATCAATATTTACAGTGTCATGATAAGTGCCAGAACTTGGCTAGGCACTGGATATATATGGTGAATAAAATATACATGATGCGTGATACTTGCCCTGAAAATACTAGTGAGAAAGACAGATAAGAGATGTTATCCTCTGAAAAACACAAACACGAGTAGCTAAGCTTTATAACATGATTTAGGCAGGTGAGCCTCTTCACTGATGTCTTTAACACAGGTAAGAGGGATAGGAGTAATGGAAGTTTCTACAAGTTTCTACTTGCAAGGCAAGTATAATGCAACCATGTCCATAGAAGCGTTGCTCAATGAGCAGACTGTCTTCCAAGCAGGCAGACAAAAGTAATCAGGAAAACCTGGTCACTCTATAGATCACCACACAATTCTTGTACCGGTTTTAAAAATTCCAGGTGGCTGTGCCTTCTTCCACAGCCCATTCCTTTGTTTCAAAGGAGTAATCTCTAAATAATGAGCTTCTTGGCAATTTCTTCTAATTAGAACGTGGAAGTAATATATACTGAGTGCTGCCTCTAAGTTAGGGTCATGCTAGTCATAGAAAGCAAAGAGTGGACAAGGTAGCTTTTTCCCACGGAGGAGTGCAGGATGGATTTAAGGACACCGGGGCAGCAGTGCTGGCGTGTAGGCACTAAAGTGCTAGGAGACATCCCAATGTCAGCTGACCAGGAAAGACTTCCCAGAGGTGATGGGTAAATACCTACCTGAAGGATGGGTAGATTGAGGAAGACAAAGGAGACAAATGAGAATGTTGAAGAGGAAGGCTGGTGGAGAAGTGTTCAAGAGTGTGTCTGGGAGGGTGCAGGGGGCTATAGCTGATTTCTGCTCCTCATATCAGGTAGACAACGGCTGGCGGGTGGATGGATGGACTGGCTGTAGAGCTTTGATGTAGAGTGCTGGGAGGAGAGTCACTGTGATGAACGAAATAAGGGGACTTGGGATGTAAGCAGTGGCTGCTTTGTCGTCACGGCAGCCTTGGAAGGGTTGTTGCTGTGGTAAAGGTTAATTTTGCATGT